ACACYGCCTGGTCTAYKAAACACCCGTGTATATGTACAACCATATATGRAAATCATAGGACAGAGAAGTCTTGTGGTTTCCCTGTGGGAATTTGCAACGGCGCAATTGAAGACTGGGTTCTAAACAAAAACCAAGACGAATATCGAGAGRTTTTTTATACTGAATTTCCTCTTTTATTCCCTCGAAATGTCTGCGTTATTGTACTCACCGACAGGCTCTTCTTGTTTTATATCTTCCTTTGATAAATGGAGAAAAGATGAAGTCCTGCAATTGCTGTCAAACATGAATGGAGTAAGTTGAACTTTCTTTTAGCGAACGCCATCTTTCCAAATCGTTCAATTGTTGAACTTTGACTCATTAAGTTCATCAGTAGCTGTTATAAAACTTATTGTGTTCTATTTCTAGCAACCTTTTTGTGMAGATAGCGTGTATTTTGTTTTAAATGGACGACTAGTTGATTCGAACCAGCAAGAAATGACCATCTCTGATAAGGACGTTCTTCGCGTTCACTCTCGCCTCGTCGGAGGAAAAGGTGGATTTGGCTCGATGTTGAGAGCGATTGGTGCTCAGATTGAGAAAACAACGAGTAGAGAAGCTTGCCGTGACCTCAGTGGAAGGAGAATGCGAGATGTAAATGATGAGAAAAAGTAAGCATAATTAGAAGACGTCGGGTTTCCTGTGTCAAGGTTATTGAATATATTATAAAAACAATGTTTTTTACTGTACATATCAATGTTTTTATTTTTTAGAATAACAGAATGGGTTGCCAAGCAGGCCGATAGAGAACGTGAACTAGCAAAACAAAAACAAGAGAGACTCGAAAAACGAAGAGCAATGCCAAAACATAACTTTGATGATCAAACATACACAAAAGAAATCCAGAAAAATCTGGAAAGGATAGATGACGCTCTGAAGCAAGGTAAATGAGCAATCTATAATGCWAGGTACAGAATCCTCTTTAATTATTTACATTCATAATTTTGGCCTTTCTAGGATTAAAAGCTTCCACGTCTACATCAACGACAACATCAGCAACAAAGCGAAAAGGTCCAGACAGAGATGAGATTCCAAAGAAACGGAAAATGTGGTAAGCATTCCTAAGTGCTTGGAGTACCCCTGGGCAATCGTACAAGCCTCAGACATTTACCTCTTGGTTTCCATGAATAGAGTTTTCATTAGTAATTAATGAAAAGATTATTATATAAAATGGCACAATTAAGGCAGAGATGAACATGAGGAAATGGCAGTCGAAACTGCCCTGACTAAATTTTGTGACCATGGTCAGCAGTTATATTGAAGTGTGTGCAGGGCTGTATACATTTGCATGATCAATTGTCCAAGATTGGTGGCTCGACTCATATGCATTCTAGATAAGATTGCTTTTTTTTTGGGGGGGGGGAGGGGCTTCAGATCACCCGATAATTAATTATTGCATCATTACTGATAGTAGTTCTAGTTGCAATTTCACTATTTTTATTTGTTTACTATGCTAAGGATGGATGAAGAACTTGATGATAGTGATGAAGAATTCAACACAAGTTCTATTGCTGGTCCCTCAACAAGCAGCACAAGTACACATACATCAACCTCAACTAGCATAGATACAGTTCTCACAGAGCCTGGTCCATCAAGCAGTAAACACTCAAGTGAGCAAGAATCCGAACCCTTAAAGAAAACATCACCTACACCTGAATCAACACAAACAAGTTCTTCATCTTCAAATGCTGATGAGGATGAAATGGTAAAGGGAGTGGAAARAGATGATAAAACTGAAGAGAAGACAAAAGAAAACAAGGTAAAAATAATTAGCTTGTTCTATTCTATGGTGCATCTTTTATGGGCAGCAAAAACAGAWGGKCTGTGGAAAGTAGACAACATGATCTAGAGAGCATCATCAAGGGATKTAAGTWTAAGTTTTGAGGAACATCATTACCAAATAGATMTGATGATCTATCTACCCATATGCATCATCATCATCATCATCTGGCAACCCATGCAGATTTAGATATGACAGTAACAACATCCCCATAATTGTTTTAGAGCTGTAATGGTCTTACCAGGCTTTGAACCTTGACTTYGCACTACCAAGAACCAAATATACTACATGTAGCTGTCTGTTATAAACCCTTAACAATGAAATAAGTAATAATCTAATAATAACAATAATTATCTCTTTTCTCAGMCATTTTGTTTAGATGACTACAAGTCTGCTGAAGAATTAGAGTCYATTGGATTAGATGCCTTAAAAGATCAGCTTATGGGTCTAGGGCTAAAGTGTGGTGGWACATTACAAGAAAGAGCACTTAGGTTATTTTCCACAAAGGGAAAGTCTTTGGATAAACTTGACCCTGCTTTGTTTGCAAAACCCAGCAAAGGAAAGAAGAAACAAAAGAAAAAGTAAACACAAACTTTGAGTTTTGTTATTTGTTGAAATGTATGTCATTACAGTGTCGATGTCCTTTGCTTTGGAATTCCTTGAGTTTTAATAAGAAATGAAGAACAATCTATARTGCATTGTACAGTAAGTGTTCTTTTATTTCCAACAGTAGCACTATAACACTAGCAGTGGTTTTAATTTTGTTTATAATTCTTTGGATAATGTACAATTTGTTTCTGATTTAACTTTTAACAGCTTCATTTAGCAGAATAAATATAAACAATTATAGTCAACAGAAATTTGGAACACTACACTGTTATTCACGTAAATAGATTACCGTAATTAATTTTAAATATTTTTTCTTTGTTTTTTTATAAAAGGAAAGTTAATGCAACCTCACTATACAGAAAACACTCATTAATTAATAAATATTGATGCTCACTTTGTGATAATAAAACTAATGTAACACTAAATTTTTAATGGTAAACCTTTTTTAAGATGTCCAGTGGAAAAGTATGATTTTTTATTGCAGAAAMRKTTTTATGACTTTTTTGCAAAGGATTTTTTATCCAGACTTTGTAAKTACAAGATTTCTTTACTGTACATGGGAAGTCTTGTAGAATACATTGTTGTGTATTTGGCTTGAATGGCATGTCTGTGTATTCAAGCTTTCTTTTACTTGAAGAACACTGAGACTAAAACAGGAAATATTTTATTTTGAAAATCAATCAATTCATGAATCTTGTCTGGGAAGTCACCATCCTAAAACTATAGCTGTGATATCATTATRCAATAGAGTAATCATTATACCTGTAATAGACCCAAGAAATCACAGACGGCAACAATACATGTACATGTACATGCATGAACAAAGAAAATCAAATACTATTAACTGCATTTTGTTTGAAACATAGTATTTATTATAACTTAATAATTGTAAGTTTCTACCTTGATATGTGGTATGACCTCTGGAGTGATATTGTCTGGTATGCTTTCTTTGTCACTATCATCTTCAATACACATACTTGCTTGAAGTGGTAGAGATGTCTGGAAATATTACCGTATTTAGCATTTCATGCAATATTTGCAATTTTTTAGAATTAATTTGCTTCATTGCACATTTTGACTTACATTTTTTGAGCTGTCATGTTTCTTTTTGGTTTTTGAAGGACTAGATTTAGATGTATTTCTAGAATTTTCTTTGTTGATGGCCTTGTTTTTGTCGTGTTTCTTTTTGGTTTTCATAGAAATGGATTTACTTGTATTTCTAGAAGTTTCTTTATTGCTGATATCTTTTCCCTGTGATTGATTATAGTGATTAAAGTATCTGTCTGATATTCAGAAAAAAAAACTACAACAGGGAAATACAAACTAACCTGCCTGATCTCCATTTTACTGTTTTGAGTTTTGGTACTTTTATGATGTTTTGTGATTGGAGATACTCCAGGCTGGAAATAATATATCAATATTGTTGAAAACCTTACTATTGTAATGATATAAATTAGTTGTAGTCTTATAGCTGGTTCGTTTGGTAGATTAGACATTAGGTGAATCAGCAATTTGCAAAAATGTTTTGTGATTAGGCTCTGCYATTTCCAGTCATTAGGATTTCATATGGCACGATTTGGCACACATTAAATGAAATCCATGACAGCTCTAAACTGAGTCTGAAATATTATAATACTGTTAAGAACTAACCATTTCAATCTTCTCTGGTTTAGTAACAATTTCATTGTGACAATCTTTTGTGATTGGTGAGATTCCAGGCTACAGAWACAAAATAACATGTAAGAAAGATATCAAGTACAAAATATGCATGTGATGTAAAATAGATTAAATAGATTAATTATGTTACCAACAAGGGTCAACTCAAGAAGTTCAAAGCATTTAAGTCCAGAATAAATCAAGGATGCATATCAATATTTTAGAATTGTATTGTATACTTTTATTARGAAGAACACATAGCCAGGGGGAGCTTGTGCAGCTAATGATTGTTAGGTAAAAATGTGTCCAAGGCTTCTGTAGTAAGAGTGCATGACCCTTGCCCCTTGTRCTAGGCAGTAGGAGTATATCTAACCTCATCTATGTGTGCTGTATTAGTTTTTCCCTCATCKACAGGTGTACTAGTTCTAGGTGCATCTGTGCATATCATGTCCCGTTTAGTATTGTCRATGTGTTGTGCTATGACTGCAGACTGTGAAGCTCCAGTATCATTTCCCTCAGGTTGCTCATGTTTGTCATCCTCTGCAAAAAATAAGATTCACTTTCAAAATTTTTTTAAATGTTTTAAATTATTTAATTTTTTGTTGTTGTAATCAAGGCTACAGGCTGATGATGCACTGAAGCAATGACATAGAAAGCAGTTACATTGAGAATATATCAGGGGCGGATTTAGGATTTTTGAAAAGAGGGGGCCGGATGTGTCKTGTGTCCAATTGAGCGCYGGGAAATTTTGAAATTGAGACCGTCAGAGATGCGATTTCCAGCATTTTCATCGGTAAAGGGGGGGCCGCGGCCCCCTCGGCCCCCCCCTAAATCCGCCCCTGTATATAATATATAATTATTGCACAGCTGCCAAGAATTATACTGTGAAGACCAATGCTAAAAGCTAATTAGCTGGACTGATTCTAAATTTCAAATTTTGCTGCTCTATATCCCTTCACCTTGGACTTATGTAATGTTTGTAATAGAAGGGTAGGCGGTAAGCCCCACAAATTGACATATAACACGTAATATAATATAGAAATGCATTTAATTACCTTTAATTGGAGATAAGAGCTCTTTAAAATAGTCTTTAAAATAAACATTTTCAACATCTTCATTAAAAGTAGAGTTGTATTGTATACTACTGAAGTTCTCTTGTGGTAGGTTCTTGTCCATGGACTGGGCACTGTCCCCTTTTACTTCAACCATAGTACAAAATGACATAGATCCAGCAGTCAAAGTATTTACTGGACTGTTATTACTTTTGGTCCGAACATCAGAATCAGTTGACATCGACTTTATGCTGTAGTCAGTAGAATCCTTGTCCACAGCAGATCTTGCTMYTGGTGATTTGCTCTTTTGCTTCAAAGTAGAGTTCCTCTGGCACATTTCCACTTGTAGATAATTATCTTCATTTTCAATCAATGATGCTACTGTCTCTTCATCTTTGATAGTTGAGAATTTGCTTTTTGSTGTTTCATCATCTTCATTCATTTTTAAYGAAKCCATCAGTAGTTTYTTTCGTCCATTATTTTTTGGAAATCTAATGYCTTTTAATTTGCTGAAATTCAATTTTTACATTTATGTCTTATTTGGATATTTACCAATATTTCATGATTTTATTATTAAATAAAAAGACGCTAATGTAAGACGTTAAGTCTGGCTAGCTAGCAATAAATTGTACACTTGTGTTTGCAGCGCAAAATGTTAATATTGAGATGAAACTTGCGAGGAAAAAAACTGCTACGGTTCAAGATACATATGGGTCGTCATATTGGATACGCATTATTATTTCTATTTTTCAAATTTGTCGTATATTAAATATTTTTGTTTTAAGAATGGTTATTGTGAAAATAAAAAGATGATCCTATACATTAAAATTGGTGTAAGTTTCTATTCACATAATTACTTTACAATGTAAACCAGCTTGGGATCCCTGTGGTTCACTTCATAAAGCATCATGGGGGACTATAGCCCGCCTAACAATGTATTTACAACATACCTATTAAATGGTGTTAGCTTCTTCTTGGCCTTTGCTGGCTGTTTACCTTCATAATTCAAAAAGAGATTGTCCAATTTAGTACTTACAGTATACATAGAGAATGGTAATGAGGAAAATAATATTAATGTCATCATAAACATGAATATACATTTATAATTCCATAAACCAACAATGAATCAGTATTATTTTGCAAGATAACATATTTAAGAAACTTTTCGTTTGCTTTTTGAAGACAATTGTTTCAAGAACACACCTTCTTTCCCAACTAATAACTTCTGCAAAGAAGAAAAACAAAAACTAGGAAAATATGATTTTTCTCAACAAAAACCTACTTGAAGGCTGTGCTGTTYGGTTATCCTCTTGCCTTGGGGTACACTGGGTTCTGCTTAATGTTTTATCTATTGGAATATTGCTTATATTCCTCAGCGCTAGGGTTGGTTTTACTGTACTAACTGGTGTAGATGGCTTGATATTGCTATTTTTCAAGCTGAAAAAGAATCATATAATCCAGCCATTGATAAACTAGCCTTAAGAGACAACAGAGACTGTTCTTATCAGTCAACCAAAACAATTCTTAACTTAAGTGAATTTAACAGTCTCAGGTTCACACAAGCAACACATTGAGTGCGCTTTCCATTTGTCAGAACTGGCTGGCCAGACCCAGAGAAAATGTCATATATCATTTCCATTTAGTTAGAAAATTCAAATTTCCAAATTCTCTATCCATTAAATCTACAGAAAACCTCAAAACGACTGAAAAATGTTGACAAAAAGCATTGTATACCTCTAAGTAGAGTGGACTGGCCAGCCAGTTTTGCCTAAATGGAAAGCACCCTGAAAATGCAAGCACAAATGGAAACTCAAGTGCAACTGCAAGAAAGTTCCCTTTCTTGCTTTTGCATTTGCATTGCTTGCATTGCTGGTGTGAAATGGGCTTTAAAGGTTGCTTCAAAAAAAATTATATTTAACAATATATATTTTTCATAAACTATTTCTATTCGCAAATCATCCAGTCTGTCATTGTACATGTCATACCTCAATTGAGTTTTTTGGAGAGTATATGATCCACCTTTTCCATGAGAGTYGAGTTCTTTGCTTTTGTCTTCTAAATTTGATGCTAAAAACATTTTATTGCACACATGAAATATTTGTTGGAATGATTTTACCCTAAGAGAATGACTGAATGGATGGAAAATAGGACTTAACTGCATAGCAAGTGCTTTGGTTTACAGGGTAAAGTATAATATTTCTAAATGTTCCAAATCTTCTTCGAAAATTTGATGTTGTTACTGTTTGTTATTTGATACTTAAAGAAACTTGCATATCATGCATGCTACAAAAATAGCTTTGGAAATCAGGAAGCAAATGTATGAATCATATTTTATAATTTGATCATGTGTCTTTGAACATGATTGCTTGAAGATAAAGTTTGTGAATAGATGAATGGGAAAATATATAAAAAATGAAATTAAAAAAAAAAACATGTCAAATTTGTTTCACACCTTGATCTTTTCCTGTGGTTTGTAGACTATCMGGAGTTGACACATGTGGAGTATCAGGGCTATGGAAATGATACTTCTTCATAATATTTCTTATTGGTCTTGATTTGGAATATGTCACGAACACATTTTTCCTTGGTCCAAACAAACTGTTAGCTGAATTTCCATAAGATTGTGTTCTATTGGTAATTCTACTTGTAGACAATTTGGTGAGATTTTTTAGGGAATCCTTCCCTTTGCGCGTCTTCATACTAACTGCTAAACCTGACAAACTTGAAGAGGAAAGAAAGGTGTCTGTCAAAAATGACGTTCAGCAATGTCGTTTGAAAACCAAAGGATTGCAAGCTTACTGACCTTTTATTAAACCAAGTGTCCAGTACAAAAAGCGTTACAAGAAAATTTACATGGCACGTCATTCATTAAAGGCAAAAACATTCTTCCTAATGTTTCGGAGTACGAATCTGTCCGAGAAAATAAGCCAAAGCGAAGTCTGTACGCGAGAGTCCAACCGAGTCCAACCACCATCTTTGTTAGCCCCTCTCAAAATTGAAATTCGCGCGCACTGTCGTTCATCCCGAATATTCCCGGATCACTACGATTAGTCCACGATTTACAAACGGACATAAGGCGAACTGTAATCGATCTCAGCGGTGGTGCGYGCGCGTTCGCATTTTGGCGGGAAAATCCGAAAAGAAAAAAAAAACAGAAGAAACTGGACACTCCCTGCTACATACAGCTACGAGAAACGACAAAAAAGCATTGTCTTTTAACTTTTAAAAGACGTTACCAACATAGTAGAGAAGAAACGTTTCGCTTAGATTTTGGAAACAAAAAGGAATTCACTTCAAAACGACACGTATTTTTATTCAGGTGGGCAGTTCATTAACTTATCTGGGTTCAGGTGGGCAGTTCATTAACTTATCTGGGTTCATTGGATGCGAAAAATTATTGATAATGTTTTAAGTTTAGATGAGATAACATGTATCCACTATATGTTGTGACCTTTACAGCTTTTTCTCCTAAAAAAATGAGCAGTAGTCTGAATTCCCCGCTCTGGCGCCTACAACAAGTCCCGGGAACGCCTTTACTAGATGTGTCAAGATTTTCGTCTGCCATCAGTTCGCCTGCACATGTCCCAGACATCGATGACCAAAGTGGGTTATTTCGTTTGCCCTATGGAAGTGAGTATTAATTTCTCTGGTTTGCAGTATTTCATCAGTTTAATCCAACTGCACGAAATGCAATTTTCACAAAGATTCTTTGTATTCATATTTCTTGCATGGAATGCAGCCTTATGTGGCGGAGAGGAAGGGTTAACCTACCACAATGTATTCTATAGTTTTTTTTTGTTTATAAAGAAGCAAAAGAGAGTCAAAGTCTTTTGTCAGTTTTGACCCAAGTTTCGACAGACCTATTCTAAAATRGATGTGAATTGTATTTGTAACTCTGTTTTTAGGACGAACCCCCAAATCGGCACCAGGGACTCCTGGGATGACAGTTCCATCATCGGTTCAACATAAGAACTTGAACAGAATACATAAAACCTGCAAAGAAAAACAACTAGAGACTCCGAAAAGAGGTACAAATTCCGTATGCAATGCATATGACATCAACTCTTTGCGTGAGAAAATWTATTGGTATTGTTCCCTTACCGAAAGTCATCCCGCCAGGGTCCCCTATGTAGTGCCTTTTKCACCAATACTCCAGTTTCGAATTCTCTTTCGTGCAAGGTTAGATTCAATCAAGCATTATACATTTTTATTGTCTTCTTTGTACACAGAGTGTTTGCATTACAATAGATTCTCTTTTGAATAAAAGAATATATTAGATGCTTTCGAGGTTTTTTTGTAGTTTTCGAGGTTTTTTTCGAGGTTTTAGTCTTAAAAGACTGCACAAATAAGAGGAGTATACGTGTTCGATATTTTGCATTAGGTGAATAGGGGTGCAATTTTGGATTTTTTTATCTTTACCCTAAAAGRTCTTCTTCTTTTTTWCTCACACCCTGACGATCATATCACATCTACATCGAAACATTTATTTTTCAGAGCAGCGAGTTCCTAGCTGTTCTCCTCAAGTAACCAACAGTCCAGCACCAAATGACGACGATCAAACACGAGAAGMAAGTGCGGAATATCAACATCCAACAAAACAGATAAGTCTGTTCACGGGGGAGGACATTTTTGCTTGAATAATGTATGGCTCAATCATTGAATGTAGTTGGTAATGTGCAGTGTCTGGCAGTGAAATCAGTAATTTCACATAACCCTTCGTGTTGATTGCAAGAGAACTTAGGCATCATTTATAGATCTAAAACTCAAAACYGAACTAACGAGGTCGAGTAGAGTACGTAAGTTGCAATAGCCTGAGTATCAGGCTCTTTCGAAGGGGTTTGTGGCGCCAAACYCCTTCGAGAGAGCCTGATACTCAGGCTAAAGTTGGAAATTATCACCCAACACCATGCAACAATTGTTTGAGTGCCTTATGTTGGATGGAGTTGGGTCATCA